CATAAGCATAAAGGAAAATTGAACTTATTTATAGAACAGAACTCATTTGCCCCTATCATGGAATGTGCCTCTCAAAGATACTGAATCTACAAGAGAAAAATCAGGCATTTTCAAGGATCTGCCAAGTTCTCAAGTGTTTTACAAAACAGACCATTTTGAGATTTCCAGGGAATTGACTTCACTACGAAGCTTGAAGACTGTACGCATCACTATTGGCATTATTTTTTAGGTACCTGAAGCTATCTTTCTGATGAAAAAGTGCTTGGCCTATAGATGAAACAAGCTGATCACCCAAATGGACAGGTAGGATTGCCATGCCTATCTCATTTTCCCTCAGCCATGAGCAAATGATGGAAAAGATATGGGTAGAAGAATTCCCAAGAATTTTCATGGAGAAGCATCTGTAGCTCCAATACAGGCCACACAGATGTTTCTGAAACTCAGATTTCTCTTGCATCAAATATGCCTAGCAAATATATGCAACTAAACTAAAACAGCCCATGCAAGTGTCTAGAATTTTTCAAGACACATTTACACCTCTGCTTTTGCTATGCAGCAGATGCTGCATTTAAGACTAGGGAATACAGGTTGAGTTGTTCAGACCTAAATGGTAATTTTCATTTCACAAGCACGGCGTTTCATGTTTATTGTGCCCTGTGAGGAATGGCCAAAGTTTCAAGCACTGGATTCCTTTGAAGCCAAAATTAGGCTTCATATGTCTACACCTTAAGTACATCCACACACATACAATGAATGAGCAACGTATTTTAACTATAACTTCCAAAATTTTTGACTCTGACTATTGCTCATTATTTCAGGTTAGAATGCACGTAACTGAGTTTTGCCTTTCAAATGACAAGAGAAGCAAATTGTTGAGATAAATCAAGCAGAAATATTTTCACCTTTACAAGTCATGTTTAGGCCCTTAATCGCAGATGGGAGTACATGATGTCAGAGCCAACACAGTTCAGAAAGTAGAAACTTCGCAAACGGAGCACATCAGAGCTGACTTTGCAAATTTTGCTGATGACTAAAAAAATACCTGCTCTGAATCAAAGTCAAGGTAGAACTTCTCCGTCAAGCTCATCTACATCTTCCCAAGGCCACTACAGACAAAAAGACGAATGTTCAAAGCAATTTTTTTCACAAGTTCACAGGAAGAACATGCTGTCTGATGCCACAAACAAGATATACAGACTATTACAGCTTCCCACATCCACTGAAAAACTTCTGTAATATCTGCAAACATTATCAGCTTACACACAAATTCCCCCATCATGTTCTTTCATCTGGAAATGGCTTTGGTCTAATATCTCTAGTTTGTTGTTACCTGTGTAATTTTCACTTTCTGTCTGCTTTTGCTCATTCATTACTCATAATATTTCAAAACTGTAATTGCAGTGGTTACAAAATGAAACTTTTAGACTGATTACAAATGCATAAGTCCTTTCCCTTGGTAAAAGCTAACTGTTTCTAATTACTTTGCTTAATTCAATGCATCATGACAGTGTTTTCTATCTGGTCAGAGTGAAACTTCCGTGTCATCTACCTGGACTTGTGCAAGGCCTTTGTCATGGTCTCACACCATATCTTTATCTCTAAATTGGAGAAATATGGATTGGAAGGGTGGACTGCTCAGTGGATAAAGAATTGGCTGGATGGCTGTAGCAAGAGGGTTGCTGTGAATGGCTCTATAATCAGACGAGCAGTGTCCCCCAGGGGTCCATCTTGGGATCAGTGCTGGTCAACATCTTTATCAATGACTTTGACTGCAGGATTTAGTGTACCCTCAGCAAATTTGCTGATGACACTAAGCTGAATGGTACAGTCAGTACAATAGAAGGAAGGGATGCCATCCAGAGGGACTGGGACAGGCTTGAAAAGTGGGCCCATGAGAACCTAGTGAGGTTCAAAAGCGCCATGTCCAAGATGTTGCATTTGGATCGGGGCAATCCTAGGTATGAGTACAGACTGAGAGACAAACCTGAGAGCAGCCCTGCTGAGAAGGATTTGGGGGTCATGGTAGATGAAAAGCTGGACATGAGCCAGCAGTGTGCTCCTGTGGCCCAGTAGGTCAGTGGTATCCAGAACTGCATTAAAAGAGGGGTGGCTAGTAGGGAGAGGGAGGTGATTTTTCCCCCTCTTCTGTGCCGTTGTGAGGACCCGTCTCGAGTACGAATCCAGGCCTGGGGCCCCCAGCACAAGAATGATGCAGAGCTGTTAGAGCAAGTCCAGAAAAGGGCCACAAACATATGCAGTACTTCTCCTATGAAGAAAAGTTAAGGGAACAGGTTGCCCAAGGGGGCTGTGGATGCCCCATCCCTGGAGACATTCAAGACCAGGCTGGATGTGGCTCTGGGCAGCCTGGTCTAGTGGCTGGCGACCCTGCACACAGCAGGAAGGTTGAAACTAGATGATCACTGTGGTCTTTTTCAACCCAGGTCATTCTGTGATTCTATGTTTCTATGATTCTATGAATTGGGATTGCTTGCTTGGAGAAGGCTCCAGGGAGACCTCATAGCAAATCTTCCAATACAAGCAGGACAACTGACTCTTTACGTAGGTAGGCAGTGATAGGACAAGGAGAAATGGATTTCAATGGAAAGAGTGGAGGTTTAGCTTAGCTATTAGGAAGAAATTCTTCACTGAAGGTGGTGATAGACTGGATTAGTTTAGTAGTTTATTCACTGGAATTAGTTTACTTGGCCTTAGTTGTCTAAGATAAACCTGAAAATGTTATAAGTTACATGAAATCCAATAATTTGTAGAATTAAAAAAAGAAAAGCAAAACCAGTTGTGGCTACTTAGCAGACAGCTTTAAGTTAATTGAGAACTAATATAAAGAGATGCTTGTGCAATTAGTAGCCTGTTGCTCAGTCTTCCCGAGTTAAAACTAATGTTGTTGCAAATCACTATTGTTCTATATCACAACAAATACCCACTTGGTTTATTTGAAATTCTATCTGTTTATTTGAAAGGCTGTCTCTAACAAGTCTTTGACAAAAATACTTTGAGAAATGTGTAATAACAGGAGGCTTGAAAAGCCTGCCAAGCTTTGGAAATTGTAGAGTCTTACATTTATTTTATGAAATTCTTCTTTTAAATATCCTTTCACTCCTGCCAACTTACTGGTAAACATATATTACTTATAACTTTTCCTAGCAAGAGAAGAGGTACAGTTTCAAACGAAGTACAGAGATATGCAGCATGATGCAACTGCAGCACATTCGCCAAGGTCCTTCTCTTGAAAATTCTAGTGCCCTCAATCATGGCATCTTGCTGAGCAGCATCCTAGCCTCATTTTTCATCTGCGACACTACTTATAACAAGGGATAATTTATATTTAAATCCTTTTTTAAAAAATGACACGTTCTACCTTCAACATCAAGTTTTTTATTATAAACTTTATAAACATTTCTGACTTCTAGTGTTTTTCCAAAGGGAACAGCATCAAACCTATCTGCATATAACAAATTGGTCAAAACAACAGGGGACTGAATGTGAATTGCTGCTGACGCAAAACTGTTATTAAGTAGGTTACGAGTAGCACATAAGTTGGTAGCCAAGAAACTGCTCTTTAAGTGCACAAGTGTGAGTAAGAAAGGGCCTTGGTCTCCTGCAAAACTGTTTTCCAGAGGATAACCTCTCAGCATGTTCAGGTGCTGTCTGATACTAATGAGGAGACAATTCTTGCGCAGGATTGCTCTGACCACCTGAAGGACTAAAATTCTACATGAGAGGAAAATTTTTAAAAGGCACAAGCATACATTTGTTAGGAAATTGTTTTTATCATAATGGAATATTAAAAAGATTCCTTTAGTAGCATCAAGAGGTTGCTTACACTTTGTCTCTCACTGAGGTGTGCTCTTTTTGCTACTTATATTATCCTCCAAGACTTTGTGCAGGAATGTGGGTATTTCTCGCTGTTTTACTGGTAGTTGGTGAGGACTCCAAAATTATCAGCACTCTTCACCAGTTCTACAAATAAAACAGTTACTAAGTGCCTAACAATGCTGTTTGCAAAAACATCATTGCATGAATTCTTTATGACTTACACAAGATACAATAAAATATTCCTTTTGAATTCCTTACAGTTTTTTTTTTGTTTTGTTTTGTTTTTTGTTTTTTTTTTTGTGCAATACAATCACAAACAGGAAAATAAAAAAGTGAGGAAAAATAGCACACTTTTAAAGAAGAGTGGAAATGGATAATTTACCTTCCACAGGTTGAGAGAGAGGGAAGGAAAAAAGAAAGAAGATGTGTATTATTAATACAAAACAGATATAGTGGACACATGAAAGTCACAAAAAGTCAGTCCAGCTAAGATATGCAAAAATGTGTTCTAAATTTGAGATTTTTCAGGTCTTAAACTGTTCCACTCAAAGCAGACTGTCCCATAGTGAGCTACTTAACACGCACTGGTTCTCAGAAGGAGAGCAATGACTGTGGCTAAAGCAAGCACGAGGGTGACTGCAAATATGGATTTGATTTCTGTTGCTCCAGAGTGCTGGCATTACTTCAGACAAATGAATCTCTTCACGTCTAAGAGCAGCTTGCCTTCCCACTGTAGATCACCGTAGACAACACGCCTCTCAATCTCCGCTTATCCTTCACGATTCACACCTACCAGCAAGGATCTTCAGTTTACGTCTGGGACGTCTTCTCAAGGGCTCAGTATAAGTGGCCGGGGTTTCGTCTGCCCTTCTCGGGGTGGGGTACACCGATCGCACCGAGGTCCCGCTGCCCGCCTTGGGCAAGGCTTTCCTCGTGTTTTCATCGTCCAGAAAGACACGGCGAACCAGAATTAATTTGTTCTCGGTACGGTGCGAATTCCTGGCAACGACGCCTTACCGCCCGCTCCCGGCTGGGCGGACCCTACGCCGGGCTATTTCTCGGGGTACCAGCGCCCTCGGCCGGCACTCGGTCCGAGGACAGAAATGCCGTAGCGAACAGAGCTGCAGCGCGAAGCGCGACCCTTCCGAGCGGGGGCGGCCAGAGCCCAGCTCTTTCTCGGGCTACACCGGTCCTGAAGAAGGGCGAGCCTCGCTCCGCGGTGGGAAGGACCGCTGCCAGCTCCGCACCCCCGGGGCGGGACAGAGCATCCCAACCAAGGAGCCCGACAAGGAAAGGAGGAAAAAGGGGAGCCCCCTCCCCATCTGGCCTCGCGGTAAGTGAACCAGGGCACGGCAGCGGGAGGGGGAGAAGGGAGCGGCGGCACCCTGCGCTCGGGGCTGAATGGAAGGGATTGCAGCAGCGCTAGGAGGAGCGGCGTGCAGGTCGCGGCTCCTCGGCCAGCCAAAGAAAGCCACCGAAACACGTGCCACCACTCTGGATCTTAAACTGCCCTTCTCGAGGCACTTAGCTGAAGTGGATACTTCTTATCCGATCTTCCCAGCCGGCAGCTGGTGGCGTTCCTCTCTCAGCACTGCAGCCTGGGCAGCCCGGAGTGCCCGAGCAGCGGAGCGCTTCCCGTACGAGCGGTATTCAGGCTGTACGCCGCTATCGCGCACTCAAACTGACTGTATCCTTTCGAGCAGAAGAGCGGGCAGCAATACCGGCAGCTCAGTCGGCCCTTCGTCTGCCATCAGCTGCCAGCCGGATGAAGAGCAATTTGTTCCTCAGTGTTAACACCCCACAACTTTCTGACAGCAATCAAACTTTTTCAGGGAAAAATTCTAGATAGGTTATTTTGTATCCAGAGCGTCCGGGTGGCGGGGGAGGGGGAGGATAGTGGAAATGGGGGTGTACTGGGGCCATAACTCACTGCAAACCTGTACTGTAAGCAGCTGTTCGTTTTGTCTCCCCAGCCCTTCCTGTGCAGACACTGAGCAGGAATGATGGAGAGGAATTGGGCTTCTTAGATGAGCTGCTCCTCATTTATTACGTTTATCTGCAAGACACCAGGCTCCCTAGCATTAAGAGGCCTTGGGCTCCACCAGTTCATTTTAACTATCTGTACAAGATCTAACAAGCAAATTATGACTGGAGAAGAGTGGGAGGTAGCTGAACTCAGTGCACCAGCTATGCAACACTGCCCCCCATCCCCCAAACAAAGAAAAGGGGTGACTTTGAATGTTAAATGGCTTAATGCTAAACAATGAATTCCTTCATATATTACTACAGTAAGGTTACAAGATGTTTAGAAAGATTAGTAGCTCAGTATCTATTCTGAATTGGAGGCTTCTCTAACCTCTCACCCTCTCCACCCCCCCCCCTTCCCCCCCCCCCCCCCGAAGGTACCCAACTGAACTGAAACTTCGCCTTTCAGTAATAGGTTTTAGCTTAAAAGCACTAAAAGTTCATTTGAATTGCAATTTAAGATCATGTTGGTGAATCACTAAATACTGGGGGAGTGGGGAGGGGCAGGTGGTGCAGAGGAAGCGGTAGGAGGAAAATTCACATTTTTCATCTGATGCCCTAAGGGATTCAGTCTCTTTTATAAAAAGTGTTAAGATCGCTACTCTGAGACCTTCTTTAAATAAAATAAAATGAATTTTATGTACTATAAAGAAATTTCCTATTATGAATTGCAATATTGACATGATCACAAACTTGACTCTTGTCTTCACTTATCCTGACTAGAGCCTAGCTCTGATAAGAGAGGAATTCTAAGACTTTTCTTGAAAAGGAGCAACATTAAATTCTTTGCTATGTATAGCAAGAACTAGAGAAAGAAGAGAATGCCTCGAAGGATCTGGTTCAAGGAAATATTTCTTGGAATTTAGTGACTTCCCCATAAATCAGTTTTCTCCTCATTTCCAGTATTTCCTCAGAACTCAGAAAAGTTATTCATAAATGTCTATTCATAGAGTCTTCACAAGCAGCTAACGCTGTGCATCAGACAGTAGAGCTTCCTTTATCCAAACCCAATTCAGGTAACTTAATCCAGTTAGCTCTTCTGGTTTCAATGTTTGCAATGAAATATAGGCCCTCTGCTAAAGAAGATTGATCAAGAATGCCAGCCAAAACTGGAAAAAATCTATCATCTCCTGATAATTTCAACCTAAGACACATAGACTTCAAAAATAATACATTCTTCTTCTTTTTTCCCTGAAGAAATATGTTTTATAGTATAGTAGTATCTAGAAAATAAGTAGTTGATTAGACTACTGAATGCATGTGTACATTGACTACTCATATTTGGGAAAGTTAAGTTTTACAATATAAAACTGAATGGTCAGTCATCAGAAGGCAGCAGCACTATGGAGCTGGGGGTGGTATAAAATAAAAACGTCCAGACTTCCAATGGGTTTCCAAGTATTATTTCATGGACATGAATCATTTTAGATGTTTGATTATAATATTAAAAGTAACTTGATCACTTTCAATTCTATATGCTCTACACAAATTCACCATTTCATTTGTCAACTCAAGAACCATTCTCTGAAAAACAATACTGGTGTGCTTGAGTTTCCCCACCTTCTTTTGTTCAGTTAAGCATCTCCAGGGATAATTTCTTTGTTTTTTTCTTTTTCTAAATTGTTTTCAGAATGTTCCTATGTCAACAGCACAGAAGCCACTGTATTCATTGGTTCTGCTGGTAAGTAATGAGCCTGCAACTGTGTTCCTGCAAATTAAGGGTCTCCAGACTATGAACCACATCCAGGCATTTTTTCTTTTTGAATAAGTATTGTTTCCCTGCCAAGATTCTGTCAGTAACTGAATGCCAGGAGACGTTTAGTAATTAGTTCCTGATACTATTCCTGTAGCTCCCATTAACTGTACAGGCCAGTATTACTTATTTTCCCCACTCCTAAAAAAGCAGGTAAGGAGCAGGTAAGCAGCAATCAGAAAAGATTGCTGAACCTCAGGAAAGCTGGGGTGAAAAAGGAGAATATAGTGGCTGTGGCACTAAGATGTATAGAAATGCACAGGAAAATACAATCCTGTACTCTTCCCCCATTTTCAACTATTAAAATATATCTCTAAGCATTACAATATATGGTTTTATTTGCCTCAGTACTGAACAAAATGAGAATTCAGATAAGCAGAATGTGTTTTGAAATATACCAACTCCAGAGATAGCAAAGACGTATCTGCTCTGTCCTTAATTATGCATGGAGAAATAATGCTTTCAAAAAGTCAATCCTAAGTTAAATCAAAAATCCAAAATGGAGTTAAGAGCCCAGAAGAAGGTAATGAATTAACAGATACTGGGTAAGCCTCAGTAAAAACACTAATTCTTGTAGGCTTTCAACACTGAATTTTAAGAGAAAGAAAAGATATGACTTTCAGTTAAGGAGTGTACCATAGTGTACCATAAGTACACTAGGGAAAAAATTTAAGGGACTTGCACATGAACACTGTGTGAAAGCACTGATAAAGTGTTTATAGGCACGAGCATTTACAGAATAAGGCTTGCATGCCAGAAATTGTAACCATTCTTTACAGAACGAAATACTTTGCTCCTCCACTATTACTCATTAACTTTTGAGCAGTCATAGAATTTTAGAAGAGCATTTCAACCCATTCTATATAAGCCAAACCAAACTTCACAGGTCTGAATTTGGTTTTGTTTTCTAGCTTCTATTCTGGTATGATCTCTTCGTATTAAAAGTATTGATTAGTAGAAAATTATATGTTCATCTATGGAAATTAGTTAGGAAATACACCGGTTTTATGTTTGTACAATTGAATCCAACTATTGCCAGTATTTTCTGTTCACATAAGGATTTCTCCACTCAAGAAAGCATTTTAGATGTACATTAAACTTCAGTAATTTTCATAGGACATTTTACATTTTAAATTACTCATTATATAAAATATTGTAGAAATATGTTGTGTAGGGAAGACCTAAAAGGGAAAATGATAAGGACTGCAGAGATTGAGCGTATTTCTTTTCTTTTCCAGAGTTCCAGCATTAAAAATTACAAAGCAACCCAACACACTGTCACCCAGGAGTGTAAATCAAGATTGAGTTTCCAAGTCTGGGGCATCTTCTCTGATTTTCATTCTCTGCTGTTGTACAAAAGATGTCAAAAAACACAACAGAGAACTCAAATTACACTCACATAGTTCTTCTAGGCTTTTTCCTGGCTAGCATTTCACTGGTCACTGTTGTCATGAATGTATTAGTATTATGTGCTGTGAAAACTGAGAAGAAGCTGCAAACAGTTGGCAACTTATACATTGTTAGCCTCTCTATTGCAGATCTTATCGTTGGTGCAGCTGTTATGCCCCTTAATATTGTTTATCTCCTAAACCATGTGTGGACTCTGGGCTTAACAGCATGTTTGTTCTGGCTGTCAATGGATTATGTGGCCAGTACCGCATCTATTTTCAGTCTCTTCATACTATGCTTAGACCGTTACCATTCCATTCAACACCCCCTGAAATATCTCCAGTATAGAACAAAAATGAGAGCATCACTGGTGATTTTGGGAGCTTGGTTGCTCTCTTCCTTATGGATCATCCCAATCCTATGGTGGCGTGATTCTGCCAATGATGAGAAAAGGAAAGGAAAAACAAACTGCGAAACTGAGTTCTCTCATGTCACTTGGTTCAAAGTGTTGACAGCCATTGTCAATTTCTATCTGCCCTCTATCATAATGTTGTGGCTCTACTGTAAAATATTCAGAGCTGTTCGAAAACACTGCCAACAGAGAGAAGTCGTCAATGGATCATACTGCTCTTTCTCTGAGAACAAAAATGTAATTCATGATAAGGCAAAGGCCAAGCAAAGTATTTGCCTCCAAAAGCAAAGCATACATGAAAACACAACTCATAAAGACAAACAGATGTCGTCTGAGTGCAGAAGTATGGCAGCAAAACCGCTTTTCAGTAAGGCTGACAAGTCTTCAAAGGCTTTTGTTAGCAGCAGTAAGAGCAAAGCCTTTAAATCCAGTTGTTCACCTCTCACCACTGCCCAGTCTGAGCCAGATCTGGATAAAGCAGGAAAGAAGAGTATGTGTGTAGAAAAGGACAATAAAAATGAAGAGGATCCTCACTCACAGGACAGCGACATAAGTGCTGCATCAGACAGCGATACTTTCACAGACAACGTGCCTTCTGGAGAGCAGCCCAATCCTAATCCTGATAGAGCCTGCACTCCTCAGGAAAATACAGAGAACAGGGATTTCAGAGGACTGACTTACCTGAGGAAAACCTGGCAAACCCTTCATACTCATTCCAGAATACATCTTCGAATACAGCACGTGAACAGGGAGTGGAAAGCAGCTAAGCAGTTAGGGGTCATAATGGCAGCCTTTATGCTGTGCTGGATTCCCTATTTTGTGTTATACATGGTAACTGTTTTCCAACACCGTGAACAGTTTTACAAATTACATATGTTCACTATATGGCTCGGCTACGTGAATTCCACCTTAAATCCATTCCTGTATCCTCTTTGTAATGAAAATTTCAAGAAGACATTCAAAAAGATCCTTCACATTCAGTAATATCACACTGGCTGTTTTTCTGAGGTAAAAAGCAACCCATAAAATCAATCAAATGAAATGTTCCAGTTTCAAAGGCAAATACTGTGATAAATTAGAAGGCTTTGGAAAACTAATTTATAAACAAGTGTTGGTAAAAGTGGGATATGTTCATATAACAGCTTCAGCATGTTTGAAGAATGGATTCTTATCAGGAATCCGAAAAGCTCAGTAGCCAGTCTCAGATCTGTTACACTATTGTAAATATTTTATGATTTGAGATTCTCTCTTTCGTCATATAGAACTAACCTGAGTGTACAAAAAGAGATCATCAGGGATTATAAGTTACTCAGCTATGGAAAAGGCAGAAAGAGAACACTGTTCCTGTGATCGGTCAAAGATTTTTTTTCTTTTTTAACTTACTGCTTTGAACAGGGAACACACTGCTTGTGAAGAGAGGTCTTCTGCAGAAAGAGGTACTTTGCACAGTTAAAAAAGAAGCTTCTACTGTTTGAAGAAATCTACACTGTTTATTTATAGCTTTCTCCAAGTCATACACTTGTTCGGAAGTCATAGTTTAACCTACAGTATCTACTTAATATCAGGCTTGCTTCATTTATACCAGTACACTTCAACTTCACTGAAAAAAGAAGTATTGTTTGTCCTACACATTTTGCTAAGACATTCCGAACTCAAGATAATATCAAGAAGGGTAGGCTGTTGTCTCTGACAACATATTTTCTTTGAGAATATACCTGATTGTGGCCTATATGTATTTTATTCCTCCTATGACTTGGCAAATAGCCTAAGCATGCAGAAGCAATGCTAATGCATATCTTTATGACAGGCAAACTCTTCTCGCTACAGTGAGACAAAGTCCTAAGCAGCAACTCAAGCTTGCAAAACAGGAAATAAAATACATGAAGTATTTTTACCTTTCCTGTCCTTTACTTACATAAGTTGTGCTGTAAACACTGTTAAATATTTTAGAAGAAGCAGAATGATAGAATACTTATGGTTGCAAAGAGTCTTAAGAAGCCACTTAAATACAGCCTACAACTCAAAGCTGTGCTTTTGCAGTATCCTCAGGGCCTCATCCATTCAACAACACATGAAAAGGGCTTCCTTTGAAAAAGCTGGAAGGCAGCTTTGACACAGAGGTTTGCAGGTTTCACCCTAGCAGCTCAAGTCATTCCCTCGTTAAGCCATCCATTTCACTGTTTCTAAGTATGAACAGCGCAGTGAGGTAAACCCTACTTTCCAGTCAAAGGAAGAAAACATGGTTCCTTAGCAAAAGAATGCAGTCACCTACATTACATGAGCTGCTGATTTAACAGAACAGTTACATCAACATAAACCAAAATCTGCAGATTGGGAAGAAAGATGCAGAATTGAGGCCAAGGAGATCTCTGGTCCTGTATGATCCAAATACGTCAAGACACACAAGTACGCAAGTGAAGCATTCATTTCTGTACTGTAATGGAACTAAGCGAAAGAAACATTTTGAGCAAACACTAAATCTGACCTCTGGGGCAAAATTGCTACGGGACTCCAGTCAGTTTTAAGAGGACCAGAACCAGGGGGCTGGACTCGATCTCTAAAAGTCCCTTCCAGCCCCTACAATTCTGTGATTCTGAGATTCTGTGATATCTTCAGCAGCAGATGTCATATTCGTATATAGTAATGAATTGCATTTAATGGTGAATGTTCCATACATTTTAGGAACGGTGACTGGGGAGGCATCCTGAAAGTTCACTGTGAAAAGAATATATTCTCGTTTGTGGGGGAAGATGTAACTGTGAGCGAGTCACCAAAGAACTTATCAGACTCTTTGATAGACCTTATCACTGTGAAACCTCGGGAGACCGGAGTGTGTGACAGAGAGCAAACAGTGTCTTTTTGCCTATAAGGGTGAACAGGAGGTTCTTTCCTATGCCTTGTTAATCTTGTCACACTTAAGAAACCTTTCATCCTTTATCACTGTTGTTTGGGAGAAGTTAGGGTCAATTAACTGATTAGAGGAACTGTTGGAGGAACAGGAATTTCTTGTTTGTAAATGAGTGGTATATAAGATGTATGTTGAACACAATGAAGTACAACTATTCTGATGCTAAAAGAAACTGTGACAACTCTCTAACTTGGCTGAGCACCGACACTCATTGTCGTTTTGCTGTGTTGATGTATTTACCACTTTTACAATGTTTACTTGCTTCTGAGAACAGCAAAGGTCTGACAGAACCGGAGCTGTTTTAGCAGAGTGCTGTCACATGTTCGGTGGGAAAAGTGAAATGGATGTGCTGTGTAATATCTTTTTACATCAGGAGAGAAAAATGGTAACAGTTGCAGGAGCAATTCTCAATTCTATGTTCTTACTGATCTTGAGCTACTTAGAGTCTTTCTGTGCCACACATGCCTATTTTGCAAGTGAACGTGACAAAACACAGAAGAACAATTAAACACTTAAGACATTTGCATCATGCTTTTAATTTTTGGATGCAGTACACTAAACAAATGCGAAGTATTATTATCCTTTCCGTTTTATATCTGTTAATTAAATACCTGAGCGTCAATAGATTTTTTTTATAGTACTTAACATTAAATGAAGGCCTAGTATCCACAGTTTTCTAAGTGGTTAGCTCGATTTTGGAAAAATGCACTAAATTAATGAACGTAGTCAGTGTGTCAGACAAGGTTCAGAGATTGATTAAATTCGGTCTTAAGTAGTATTCAGCAACGACTGCAATCAGAAAACTCTAATGTAGAAAAAAATATGCCAAAATATACAGATAGTGTGTGTGTATATATATATATATAAAAATTAGTAACATTCATTCAGTAATTCTGGCAACTTTTGCACTGCAGGAACAGTGTCTGCGCAAGTAATAAAACAAACCTTTTAGATCACAGAGCAGCAAATTTTGGAACATACGCTCTTATTCAAAGCCATTCACAAACTATTCTTGAGATCAATAGCCATTCTGCTCTTTTTTTTTTTTTTTTTTTTCTATTATAATGTGCAACAGCAATTCTATATAAAATAGATGGTAATTCAGGTGTGCACTAGGGAAATAAAACAGGATAATGATTCAGCTGCAGTTACTAATGCATAGCAGTAGAACATGATAACCCAGGGGCTACCTAGATTATCAAAAAGTGTTGATTGTGACAATTGCCTTTTCTGACTTTACAGCATGTTAATAAATGAAACAGCAACTATAACAAAACCAGTGAAATAAGATCACCATTAAAAATCAAAGCGTATTTCTGGTATGATTAAAAACTATTCAAGTACAAAAGAAAAAAAAATTAAACAAATAAGCTGCCTGGATGATGATGATGATGATGATTATTATTATTATTATTTAATATCCTTTCAGTTTTATCCATAATCTAAATGTGCCAATTACAAATATGGGGAAAGTTGTCATAGTAGACTTCTCTGATGTGATAAATAACAAAATAACAAAACAGGAAAATTAGAGACTTCCTGTTTTAAGCTTCCAATTAGCAAAGTATGTAACAGGATTTATCAGTTTCTTCTACTGAGAAGCAGAGAAAAGCAAATCAGGGTAAGGAATGAAGAAACCTACTGCCACGTGGGGCCAAGCCTCCAGGCGTGGTTTCCTGCAAATATTTTCAACACTTTCCAGTTAATAATCAAGGTCAGAGGACTCACAGGTTTAAGTGGACATAATGAATTTCTTGGAATTTCTTGGACTGAAGTTCTACTTTGTTGAGGGTGTGGTTAGAGCAACCAATTTTAAGAAGCAGAAAAATACACTCACCCTTCCACGTTTCTTTGTGTCAGTGAGGACATCTAGAGGGAAATGAGAAGAATTGTGGGATTCTGTATCAAGTACGAAGTAGCATGCCAGTTTATTAAAGGAGGGGTGCAATTTGTAAGTGGATCCTGCCATCTAGTATATATTTCATACTCTGTATAATTTAACTCCTGCAAAGCTGCCATCCAGGGAGTCCCCAGCTCACAGTGATGTAGCTGGTGGCATGCACAGTTAGTCTCTTCCAGGTACGGATTTCCCATTTGACGTGTCCTTGCTGGCCTTGGTGAGCTCCTCTCAGCCACAGCAGGGTGTTGAGGCTCCTCGCAGAGCCCAGTCCTGCAGCATTTCAGCTGCTGCCCTCACTGTGGTGTCATCCAGCCTGGTAATAGGGCTGTTAAACATTACCAGCACAGGTCTCAACCTGCCTGAAAAACCAATAACCTGCTGGTGGCTGTTTTTTCTACCTGTTGAGCATGGCTTTCCGTGCCCAAAATCTGGGTTTTAAGAAGCTTATTGACCACCCATTGAATCCATTCCTTGCTCAGATTACTTCTCTTGCCAGTCTCACTGAAGGTAAAGGCTTCAGAGACGATGCCTATATCATGTTAGGGACTACATATATTGGCAACAGCTGCAGCACCAAGTGTCACAGATGGCATACCTGGGCTGAGGACATTTGCTGACATAAAACTGGGAACGTCTCCAGTATTCAGCCAGCATGCTTTTATATCGTTTATCGTTCGTATGATTTAGCTGACTAAATATGCTTGATAAATCTGGAATCCTTCAACGCTTCACCAGCACATCAGCACCTACTCAAAGCATAGCATCCTTGTGCAGGATGGTCTAACAGTCATAACCGCGGAGGAGGAGAGGGTGGGTTGTAAGTCCATATTACTTCACAAGCCGTAAAGTGAACGCACTTCGTATCTTCTCGCCTATTCATGCAGTTGTTACAGCGAGTGCACCCTGGACGGCACAGAAAAGAACCTTCAGAATCGGTTTGGGCTGGGCTACCGCGGGCACTACCCCGCACCACGCCGCGCCGCCACAAGGGAGCAGCGCTGCGCCGACTGACATTCCCGCCTCAGGCGGAGCCAACGGTCGGGCGCGTGCGCAATGGACGCTCCTCCGCCGCACGCCTGCTCCCTTCCCGCCCTCTTCGTCACGTGATAGAGGTACGGCACCGTCACGCTGCGCGTCAGCTGGTAATGCCGGAAGTACTGCGCGCTGGAGCCGGTGAGCGGCCGTGCGCGGTTGGGGACCGTCTGGCGTGAGGAGGCGGCGGTGGCTGAGGGGCACTGAGGGCGTCTGCTGCCTTCAGGCTCCCGGCTGCGTACCCCGAGCTCGCCGCGCTCCGGGCTGGTCTCGCTTCCAGAGCGGGAGTTAGGGTTTTGTCACGGAGGGCGGGAGGGAGTTTGTCCCTTGCGGTGCCGCAGTGAGGAGGCAGCGTTCCTTTGCGGGGCTGTGCGGGCGGCGACTGCCGCACTCAGGGCTGGCAGCTGGCGGGGCAGCTCGTCTGCAAGGCGAGACGGTAGTAATATTTCCTGGAGGTGCCCCAGGCCGTGGAGGAGCCCTGGGCAGCCGAGCTGGGGGGCAGCCAGCCCACAGCAGGGCTGGGGACTGCGAGGTGCCTTCCAACCCAACCCTGCTGTGATCCTAGAAATAGGGAAAGCTTTCCGTGCTCCAAAAATAGGCTTGATAACAAACCAGATAAGTTCAATGTCTGGCTCAGCTTTTCTGAAAAAGCACCTTAGGTAGTGCTTTGCCTTTGCTCATAGAAAGGAGGTTTTCAGAATATTCTCTATTCTGTAACACAGAGTGGGGTTTTATAGAAAATGTGGGTTTTAAGGTGTTTTTGTGAATCTGGTTTAAAACCTGTAACATCATGATGGTTCCAGAGGATATGTAACTGCTAATCGTGTTCTTATGGCAGATTACGTCCTCCCTCAAGGACAGGACAGGTGTTACTGAAACAGCTGCTCTGTGGTTTTCTGGATATATTTTGCAATTAGACTCATCTGAATGTCTGTATGTTTAACAGCAGATGCAAGAACTTGTACTTTTTTCTGGCTGTTGTTGCCCATTGCGCTTGTTAGATTTCCTGTCAGTTACAGAACTCAGGAGTTATCTCTAAATTGTATTGGTAAACCTTCTTGCTTCAAGCTCACTTTGCAGCTGAACTCTTGTGAAATTCCAGATTTCTGATGTCTGTTTATTCCTCACATTCTCCTTGTGACTGTTAGAAGCCATGGGTTTCTATCTGCAAGTTCTACAAAATGTACCTACAACACATTTAAATGTAACTTGTTGCACCAAGTTTAACGTACTGATCTTGTATAAGAAAGCACTTGAGTATTTGCATGCAAATGCATAAAATTATATTTTCAAAAGTGTCAGTAGATCAGAAATGATTGTCTATTCTGTTCTGTTTACACATATATAGCATAGTGTTTCTTAACAACAGCTCTTTAGGTACAGGAATAGTGGAATTAAGTAGGGTCTTGAAGTTCATTTGCAGTGGATGCTTTTAGGCTAGTGTTTTCAGCTCGTGGTACGTGGCTGCTTGGTGTTGGCATCTGGGTTCTTGGTCATTTAAAGTATTTGACAGTACAGTTTGTTGGGTGTGTCACATACCTGTAGTTAAATAAAATGGAGAAGGAGGATAAAATGAAAACTTATTCCAAAGGCTGAAAAAGAACAATTAAAGATGAGTAGATCTCTCGTTATAATAAAGCTTGTCTGGTGGAGTAGGCATTGACTTCATGTTGCTTTTTGTTATAAATTGGAAAAAGTGCTAATTAATACTTTCCTGAACTTGCTTCTGACAACAAACCAGTAGGAGGAGAAGAGAGTGTTTATGGATTGGTTTCACTAGCTGCCTAATCAAAACTCTCATTAAAAGTTTTATTATAGGCATTTTGGCATGACATGCAATGCAACCTGACTCAGTTATTGCTAATGCCTTTGTGACGCATGACTGTTTGCTTGCCTTATGATGAGCAATCTGTATTTTTTTTCTAGTATTTTTTCTTGAAAAATAAATTCTGTAGGGTTTAATATTTATTTATTTATTTAGTGAAATTTAAACTCGCTGGTTATTAATACGTAAGTATATGTGACTTCTACATCTTAAGTGCAGGAAAAGCAAGTCTTATTAAAATGATCAGAAAATGCCATGCAGCTAGCTCTACTTTGTACAGCCATTGTATAGTCAAGTTTTCAAGAAAACTTTCCTTATGCTAATAGAAGTGATATGAGAAGGTATTTTTAAACAAACGGTGAAAAATTTATGATATCACAAATTCTAGTTATTAAAAATAAAAACTGAA